GATGTTTAATATTTACATATCACGGCACTTTACTTTCACATATACTGTATGTTTTAAGATAAGCTTGGTCTATGCCATATTTCCTTATGCCATACGATTTTATCCATTCAGGTTACAGTTACTACTAAAAAACCTATACGGATTGTCAGGTTCAATACCATACTACCAGGTACATACACCTGCTCACGTAGTTATCCATCTCTTACCTTCCCTGGAATAGTAATAGTGTACTGGCAATTAGGGTTCTAGGGCCCAATAGGTATTACCCCCTTTTTTCTCTGCATTATGCTTCGGTTAGTGGTCCCGCGAGGCCAACACCCCGCCTCACACTCGGAGGCATACACCCCTCGGGCCACTCGTGAGCTAGCCGCCTCGCATTGTATCATAGAGAGGGCCTCACCTGTCACTCCCCTTCCTATTTTCTGGTTACTGTCACCGAGAGGCCAACATCCTGCCACAACGTTCGGTGGCCACACAAAATCCCCTCGCGCCAAGCATAGATAGAGCCTCTCAAGCCACTTGGCAACTAGCAGGGCCTCACCAGTCACCAAAAAACACCAAGCCTAATCGTTTCGCCTTACGGCTTAGCTAGCAAGCCAGTACAAGACCCCTGGGTACAAATAATAATTGCAATCTTTATTGTTATTTAGTATTTCTCAAAAAGATGGTGAAGAATCCCCTCTTCCTGGCACCCCGGCTAGAAGTGATACACCTTCAAGCAGAGGAGATGTGGCTCTGACCTAAGGAGGCGACAAATCCCCTACCCTGCCACAGCAAGGAAAGCAGAGTTATTCAAACTCCTCCATACATCAACGGACAACACGGAGGCAGGGGAAGGCCCAGCAACATCAACTCAGGTGACACCCAGGCCATGCTAGCCTCACTCAAACTCATGAGCCAAAAAATTTACGACAGACTGGCAATCTCGAGTCGGTCACAGCCCTCACAAGGCTGGGCCTCACGCTACTGTACAACCAGCACCAACCGAAACTCTGTTACCTGGTACAATCAATTCTTGGTACAAGACGTTAACCCTGCACATATAATCCCGGCACATTGAGGAAACAAGGCATAAATATGTATGATGATGTAACTATGATGGTCAGACCCAGGTATTCTAGGTAAATCGGGAACTGACCATCCCTTGGTTGTGTTGGCATTTGGAATATGTAGAGATGCTTATTTGTGCAGGTACCCATACAGAAGGGATTTTCTCCCAAACAAACGGACGAGCACTCTCAGGTACCAGCACCTCTGAACTACCAGAGACAATTGGTATTGGTAGTTGCATTGCATATAGACTGTTGCATATAGACTGTTGCATATATGTTCAAATCATTCAGGGCACATGACAAACCATGTGTCCCAATACAACTTACAAATAATGTACTCCCCATCTGTACACACCAATGCATTTTCAACACTACTGACTCATCACCCTTCCAGACTTGTAGATTTACTAAGGCTCTGGAGCTTCAAAGGGCTCCCATACAGGTATCATAAATAAACCCTCAAGGAATATAGCATGCCCTCACTTACAGTCAGCACAACAGAACCATTGGCTGTAAACACACTCCTAGCCAAGATTTGCAGAGGGGTTTTTACTTGGGTTTTCCAATCTCCACCATTTACAGCATGGCGCCAAACACAAACACATCGGTATTGTCACAAGGGAATCTTCCCTTAAACAAAGACTAACCATAGACTTATTGGCACCACACACCTTCGCTACCCCAAGTCTCAACTCCCTCATATCCTCCGACAAGTTTCCTTACTATACACACCATTGATCTACCTTTACAGCTATCACTCAAGCATGGGTTGAAGTTTGGTTAAGTAAGACCAATATAATCAACACAGTAAACGGCTACCATCTACCCTACAAACTGGCACTTACATGGCATAAAATGGGCAATCCTTTCCCCGCTAAAAGCAGCTGCTGTGGCATGGGGTAAATCATGGTCAGGGTCATCAATCCGTTGTTACTCAGACAACTAAGCACATGTCATATCATCAACAAATGCCACTCATCATCCATACGATCATGGAATTGATGGGGAACTCACTTGGTTGGCCACTTACCACATTTCTTTTACTTTCATGTACCAGGCGTTGGTATACATCCTTGCCGACAATTGTCTCATTTATATTCCAGGCACGTTTATCATACGCTTCCTACAGCCTTATATACAGTCACGGCCACTCTTTCGTTCCAGGGACAAAATCATGGATTAGACATACTCATGCAGCATAGCATGCACTATCCCACCTAACACTTTCATCCCATACTTGTAGAACGCATAACACAGCTATTCACCTGGCTTTAAAATCTCATTGGAACACGACATAGCTCAACCAGTGTCATAACATTTCTCCTAGGTTTTGCTTTTTTTTATGCCACCTTAAACTAAAACCATCTCACACACCATTAATTATATATTTTACAGGCATTCAACAACACAGGATAACCTATGTCCAAAACTACCATAACTTCATGCTATCATACCAGACAAGAATATACTCAGAGGTTTTCAGGAATCCATCCCCCCACGTTCATCTCCGAGATTACCAATAGCCATCCAACTTTTCCATCCTTATCGGACCTATTAGAGCAACAACCATTCAATTATACTACCAAGTCGGCCATTACCAGCCATGCACACTGCCTTTTATGCCTTTCTCAGGCCAGAGAATCCACTACCATAACCACCACTCAGACAGATCATTGTCTTCAACAATCCCACGTATGTAAACACATATATCATTACCTATTGGCTCTACCACATTCCGAAACGAGTCAACACGCACCAACGGTAGAGATAACATACTATCCTACCCACAACAAATGGTGTCCAGTTGCAGTCCTAGATTCCTACCTTCAAAATCCTTCAAGGAATTAAATACCGTAATGCATTTAAGGAAATGTCTGGTTAATTTGTATATATTGTTGACTGTATTAAATCTTTGATTATTCTTTTTGCCCTCTTTATTTACAGGCCTACCGTATCGTCGGTCTTGGCACACCACAACCGACTTGCTCCCTTTATTCTATCCTATGCTTATGCTGGAACCTTACTCCATATACAGCTATTTGCCCCGAACACAAGTTTTAAGGCCATTTGGCCTGTATTTGTGGGAGGGGCTTAAATTAATTCACTCCCCTATATAAGGGACACCCCTTACCTGACTCAAATCGCTTGAGGTCAGCATCAGAATGACCCTCCCACCCACTCCTCATTTCAACACTTTTTATCTTTTCTTTCCATTTACTTTACTTACTCCTTGGTGGGCCCTCTTTATTTACAGGCCTACCGTATCGTCGGTCTCGGCACATCACAACCGACTTGCTCCCTTTATTCTATCCTACGCTTATGCTGGAACCTTACTCCATATACGGCTATTTGCCCTGAACACAAATACTGTTTATAGTCTATAAAGACCAGCTGTGAATGTGGTTCTGATGCATGGAGAGTACCAAATCATTGCTCTGCATATTAAGCCAAAATTTGGTTAATTACTGATTATTTAATTGGTTGATTGTGATTTTGCACTTTCACTAAGTTTTTTCTTATAAATGTTTGTAAGCTTTTGTGTGAAGTAGCTTGACCAAGACTCCATTGGGAGTCGAAACGTTGCAATGTTCCACCTGAACCAATAAAGGTGACTGAAGCCATTGGAGTGCCTGGACCCTTTTTCTGGTATTTCTCTTATGGGCTTGTACTAGCCCTTGGTTCAGCTAAGCACCCTGTCTTAAGTGAATTAAATGGATTCTCCAGTGCCAGAAAAACATGTTTTCCTGGAGTGCCCCTCTCCCTCCCACCCAAAGTTGCTGAAGGGGTTAAAACCCCTGCAGTGACTTACAGGAGTCCAGCACTGATGTCCCTCGGCGTTGGTCAGGTTCCGCCTACTCTCCTCCCCCGCCATTACACTTGCAGGGTAAAGAGTAGTGGGAGTTGGGACCCAGACCACTCCAATAGGCAGAAGTGGTCTGGGTACCTGGGAGTATCCCTTTAAGTGCGGTCCATTTTTGCAGGTTGTCAATTAAAGGCTGAGACTGTGTGCATGCATTTCATAATAAAGTTTTTCTGGCACAAGGCAAATGATTTAACCACAAAGTTAGGGCTCCAACACGTCTGCTTCCTGACTTCCATTCCTCTCCTGTGTGTCAAACAAGGGTGAGAATGACAGCTTCTGCTAATGCGGTCAGCATATCAAAGGGCACCTATTGTGAATTATAGGATGTAAAAGGCCTATACAAATTTAAATCCCCAGTTTAGTGAATTCTAACAATAAGAATTTATAACATGCTATAACAGATGTCATCAGGTGAATTACACACATAAATAAGAAATATTGATCCAAGCACAGATGCATTTCAGAGCTGCAGAAGAGATATGGGTAACCAGCAAATGAAATTTAAAATGGTATCCTTTGGCATGGTCACATAAAAATAGCCTTGTGTGACTATCAATTTTTAGTTTTGAGAGAATGAGTCACAAAATATGTAAAATATGTTAAAAATAAAAAATGGTGTTCTGGTCCACCTTAAAGGCGTGCTCATACATCTAGAGCCAATATTGATCGGTACAAAAGTCACTTCCTCTCCTTGTCAAAAGGTGACGTAAGATTGGACAGGAGCAAGCAGCATAGGGTTAGGTACCATTCTTGAGTCCATTGCATTACAGGCACATCTTTCTAAAAAGAGAATCAAATCTAATTTACATTCTGTGTTCGCATGCAAAGTAAGCTGGATATGTCAGCCATATCAGAAGCATTGGATTCATATATCATAGTAATTGCTGCTTGTATTTTGTTTTTGTTTTTAAGGGGAGGGCCTGGATTCAAGTAAACAAAAACAAAAACGAATATTTTCAAACATTTTAAAAAGTGATTTTTCAATTTCTCATTGAGATTGTGCTTGTAGACATTCCTACTGTGTAGGTATTGATTGGGTATGATTAGCAGTGCCAAGACAGAGGAGCAGTAGGATTTGCCAAGTCATTTTGTGATTTGGTGTGAGCTCACAAAAGGGACATGAAATGTAACTATGTTTGAAAATATTTTAATGCAATAGATAGGTATTAAATTCAAATATGTGCACAAAATTGCAGAAATATGCAGTTTATATTATACCAAGTATGTACTCCAGAGTTTGGTTAGAAATAAAAGAATGCGACTAATGTCAGATGTATAATGTGTTAAAGTGAAAAATTTAAAATTTAAAAAAAAAAGTCCAGAGGACAAAACCCAGATTTTTTTCATTTTCCACTGGGAGGTCCTGCCTCTTATGGTACTTGAATATTACCAGGGTACATGTAAAGAGACACAGAGAGAAGAACCAATGGTGCAGTATATTGCACTATTTAGAGGTCACCAACAGATATGTTGTGAATGCCCACTCACATGCATTGGAGCTTCTATACATAATTTTCTACTTTAACAAATTATACATCAGATATTAGGCACATCCTGTCGTATTCCTTTTTTGTGCATATCTGTAGGGATATTGAGGGATTTCCTCCTTTTTTCCAGTGATTACTGCCGAAGATAATCTATTGTTTCATTAATTAGCGCTTGTCCAGCTTGCTAAATATATTGCTTTAATGTTGAACTTGATTGCACTTTAGTAAAAGTCACATACAAAAAACACACAATATGAAAAGTACAAGTATAAAAATAGTCATTGTTCTCTCAATAAGAAGAAAGGAAAAAAAAATTAGAGATTTACACGCAGGAGCAGCTCAAAGGAAAGGAAAAGTAAAATAAAATTACAGTTAACCGAAAGACAAAAATTATTCCATAGAGAGTGTGTGTCCATTTTTTTTTTTTTTTTGCTGTCGGCAGTGGGTTTGTACTCATTGTCTCAAAGTTACTTTTTCCTACATCAAAAAATGATCACTCAAGCACTGAAGAAAGCATTTAAATTCTGGTTAGCACTTTATTCTTTGAAATCGAGGAACTGCTGCAGCCTTTTTCTGTGCTCCACAGACACTGGAACGGCACTGGGGTTAAAAGGAAAAGAAAAGGTAAACTGGAATTATGCCAATGTAACAAAATTTTTAGCAGCAACATACATAAAAACTACAACAACAACAAAAAAAAAGCAAGACAAATCCCCAAAACATGCTTCAGCCTTTTGCTCACCATCACTAAATGAAAACGGCCATGGAGAACCAGCCTAGAAAGTTATTTCAAGTTTATCCGTAGCAGCCAGATTTAAGCAAAACCAGCAGCAGATTTATGGTTCAAGATCAGAGACTGTCCTGGGGTTAAGAAGTGCAAGTACATGGAGACGCAATTCATCTAGCACTGCAATGATGAGTGTAATGAGGTGTGTTGCCCAATGGCGGAACCTACAAATCAGCTGTGCTGATCTAAGCTTGGTTAAAAGGTATTGTGTAGCTGACTCACAACGCAAGACACCAGGATGTAGGTCATAGAGGGGAGGCTAAGGAAGGGGCAAAGAGCAATATAGAGCGAAGATGGCCTGTAACATGGAAAAAGGAAAGCACCATGGGAATGGAGAAAGCCAGCAAGGGCAAGAACATAACTGCCTGAAATAGTTAGGATTGTCAGTGATGGACAGGACAGGGCAGATTTATTCTTCAGTATTTAGCAATAGCTGTCCACTGGCAAGTTAATGTTACAAAAATGTTTTCCAAATAGGTGCTCAGCTGACAGGAGAATCCTAACAAAGTACACAGAGAACGTCAAAGGAGATAAAGCTCCACTTTGGAACTGAATCTAGCAATAGCTAGACTTTTATTTATCTGATTACAATGAAACGATTTTACTCCTATCCAGAATGATACACATACTATAACAAGACTGATGTTGATGGAAATATGCAAATTAAAAATCCAGAATCACAACCCTCTCACCTGTCAGGTTCCCTACAAAATATCAAAAAAAGTTTATAAAACAATAGAGAGGTGGAGTGATAAAAATAAGTGAATTTTAATTTCACATCAATTCACTAAATTTGATAGAGTCATAATCAAAAGGAAACAAAACATGAATGCGGATGTAAACAGCAGAAGGATTGTCAGGAGAGGAATTAGAAAAGGACAGAAAAAGAGCAACTATGGAATGTTTGCCTGTTTCACACGTCTGCCTTTTGAGAGTACCGTGCAGGAGCTATTGCAGCTAGCATGTTGCCTGTTGGCAATCAGGCCCAGCTCCCTTACATTCTTCCTTTAAATCAATCTCCAGTAACCAGGATGCAAAAAAAAAAAAAAAAAAGCAATCTCAAAGATTTTTTTACGGCAGTACGAACAGACTGCATTTCATACAGGTTTTAAAACCTTATTTTTGTTGAAAGTGCCCAGTTTTTGTAATTGGAGCGGAGGGAGAATTAATTCCGTAATGGTTTTGTGCTTGATATGGAAAGTGTGTAAGTATACTTACTGTAAGTGTTCACCAAATGTTGTGGTTATTCTATAAATTGCGGTTTTCAAAGCCGCTCGAAGTGCAAATCTCTGTGTCTTGTAGGAAGAATCCACAAAGCTTTCTGGTGTTCTGGCAGGTTTGCTGGAAGCATGTGGGAGTTTAAAATGTTTCTCTACTGCCTGCAAAACAAATATAGAGCATTACTGCACCGTTCACCTAAATGTAAAGACAAAATTATTTATGGAAAATAGTGGAGGATCGTTAAAAGAAATTAGAATATTAATCTTTCTACGTCTTGGATGGTTGACAATGGTTTTGAATGTAAGGTTACAATATGACCATTCTTGAGACCGATAATTTAAATATATATGGATAAGATCATAAAGGAACCACTGTATGTTACTTGTATATGTAGTATGTACATATATTTGAAATATGTTTAAAATATGAAAATAAAAATTGAAAAAAAATAAAATTAAAGTCCTAAATGAAAAAATTAATTTTTTTTTTTTTAAACACACAAGGCCTACCATCTTGAGTGGACGCCATCTTAGGCAGCTCTCTTGCACAATCCAGCCAAATATCTCCTCACCCAAAGCCAATCCGACTCCACACCCAGCTCAATCTTCATCCTGAGGGTGTAGGGAATCAATTGATGCCTTTCTTCCAGAACCGAAGCAGCCCAGACAGAGGCGCAAGGCTGCGGCCTACCGTGCATTACCACTACTCAGCCTCGAGGTCCTTCTCGGCGGACCAGGTGAGGCACGAACAACACACGACTAAACCCCCTCCGGTACACCAAATATGAGCCGACGCACACAAAAAACAGCTACCACAACACTTGGTAGGGACATAGGGGAGATGCTTAAGAGGCTAGCACAAATTGAGCCCGCATGGGCAGAGAACCCACCAGGGTCCCGGACTACAGGGAGCCAAGCATTTACAGCCTTACTCTAGTTCACATGTAGGGCGATGACCGTAGACATAACTGTACGTTGGAATTGTTGCGGCACTACACTGCTAAGCATTTAACTGACAGGATGACATTTAATACGCTACCCTAAGCATGACAGCGACGGCCTCACCTTCCTCCAAGGGGCGACCAACATGGACGCCAAACATTTCTCCCCCGTAGAGGGGCTTGTACACACACTCAAGCCCGACTGACACCCTAGCCAGACAACACTACATTTATTGGCCTCCTGACCTCCCACATGATTCAGCAACCCTCACAAGTAGCCTAACTTTATATCTCAATCCCACCTTGCTGGAACAACTAGCCTGATACCACCCAGCCTGGAGAAACCCGGGAACATAGCGAACAGGGTCAATACCCTTACATACAGCTGACCCCTAGCTCGTTCCAGGTCTTTAACTACACATGTACTCTATGAAGTTGAAATGTGCTTTAATTTTTACTCACTTTGGATCTACCATATTGTTGTTTCCAATGCCTGAACAAACCTGATGTATTGTCTAAGTTTATGTTATGCCTGATAATCTTTGGCCTGAGAATACAGAAGTTGATCTTGCGAAAAAAAAACAAAAAAAAAAAACTAACCTTGGAGGAAGAGAAAAAAAAAAATCTGTTGCCAAAGGAAAAAATCCCAACAGTTGCAGAAGACTAAGATTTAAATGGCGCAGTAGGGACAATGTGCACACACATCCATGGGTCTGCACCAAACAGCTGAAGGTCTATGCAAAGTCTGTGTTATGAGCAGAGAGTGATAATTAAGGAAATGCTACTATATATGTAGAATAGTAATCCTGTGTGGCACTCTGGGCGGGAGATGTGGAGATCCAAGGCTCAACCTCGTAAACCGTGGTGTAGGACTGTTGTCAAATAAGTAGCAATAGTAGAAAATCCACAAGTTCGACACGGCAAGCACATAAGTGTAAGTTCATTGGCAACAAACAAAATAAATTTTTTCGATACAAATCCTTAATCCTATATCATACACGATTATGGCTTTGTGCCGAAACTATGTATTTTTTGTTCCAGTTTCCAATAAAGTTACGCTTACGTGACTACCCTGTTGAACATGTGGATTTTCTACTATTGTACATGTAGAATAAAACATAATCCGGCCCAGTAAATGCAGTGGAATCCATCTCAGATTGTTTGACTTGACCTATAAAATGTGTTTAAGAAGGTTCCACCTTGTGTGCCGTTCCACTCCAGCAGCTTAGAAGATAGTATCTCAATCACTTCAGTGGTGGAGACAGGAATTCAATATAGATGGGAAAACATTGATCACTGTAGTACTTAAAATCTCAATCCTTCATTATTAAATGTTGAAATCGTAATAGAACTACATTGAAAAGAGTTCGAACCTACGTACTAACATAATGTTATGCATTTTATGCAGATTTTTAATGCATTGTCTATACAATAAAATGCTGCTTAATTATAGCCTGAAATACCCCCTTAATATTTAAAGCTCCTATTTATTAAAAAAAGAAAAAAAAATGTCTAAAATGTACATACAAAAGGATGGACTAATTTACCACATGCAAAACCAGGGCTGTATTTATCATTTACAGTGTTTGATAGTTAAATCTTCTTTTAGGACTGATGTGATTCTTGACATTTGATGGCAGAGAAATTAAACAGTGGATTTAAAGTTTGCCACTCACCTCTTGCAAGGTCAGGAAGGTTCCAAATATGGAAGAAAGAGAGGTCTGTACCACTCCCATTCTGTCTTCTGAGAAAGAGGTGGCAACCAGGTGTGACAATCCTGTAACAGAAGAGTACCAGCAATAAGTGAAGACTAGAGGAGGTCTAGCAAACACCAGCAAGCGCAAATGGATACAGTTTAACTATTACTCTCATTAAAGCAGCAAGTGGACAACAAAACGTTGACAAATGTTTATTAAAAAAACAAAAAAACAAAACAAAAAAACAATCACATTCTACTGAGGAAATGTTTACAAAATGATGTAAACCGTGATGTAAACTCACTATATACTGGATGCCAAATATACAGCTTGTGTTAAAGTCTTCAGCAATTCTAGAATACTTAATTGTGTACTGAAAACGGTACATTTTGAGCTAACATAGACAAGTTGGAAAGGTCAGCGCTACACAGGTTTTCCAAAATGGATAATCACAAACAAAACCAGAAACAGGACCCTGACCTTCAAGGGCCCAAATATGAATCTGAGCATCGGCAAATGCATGCTGACTTGAAGCTTCCGGGCGCTAGAAAACAGAAAGAAGGTTAATAATAATTTATATAATAAATAATTAGAAATGCAGACCAACATTAAATCCAAATGACCAAATCACATTACTGTGCAAATAACTGAAAGGGCAGACAAGATGAATTAATAGAGTTGTCAGAATGTGATAACGTACATATGCAGTTTTCTATTATTCAGCATATAGGGGGTCCAAACATGCCCGCTGGAGCACTATTACTATGTATTTACTAGAATTTGTTTCTCTTATCTTTCATCTTTGCCTAGCTAACTAGCAAGTCAGGCTTTTCCAAACATACCTTGCTGAAAAAATACATGATGATAACTCGCTTCGACAAGAAGTTTTTGAACTAGAAAACAAAATATAAGTAAAAAAAGAGTTAGTACAATAAAGCTACTAAATGACACAGAAGAACCTATTCCCTGAATTAGGACGTCAATAAACCAACTGATAACCATTGGCTCCATGAAGTACAACCAACACCTAAATTCAGAAAAAAATGCATGGGACTAAAAGTTAGGCTCTTGTGCTACAGGTATTTAACAAGGACAGAGAGAACACATTTTCTCCAAGGAGGTCTGTAAACACAGATAAAGCTTTTAACCTTTATGGTATTGTAATTACACAATGGAATAGTAGAACAAGCAAAACACGTTCTTAGCTAAAATTAGCTGTACCACTCAAAAAGGGTATACCAGTGGTTTACAACAAACTATTTTAAAACTACCTAGAAACATCTTATGGGGGAAAGATAGATAGTTTCAGTACAAACTCATTTGTCATTGAGATCCATAATGACTATCAGGCAAACACAATACGGTAACAAGCCACAAGTCTTCCACTGGGGAAAGTCACTTGAAACTTTTGGTAGAGCATATTATGAAGACAGATGTGAGAAGCGGGGCCATTCAATAACTGTATTACATCTTAGCAACTTAGTATTCATTTTATTGCAGTAACCATGCATTTATCACGCAAGTAAACCAAAAAGATGTTTTACATGGCAGGCTCTCAGACACATGGTGGTTATCCATTTATTTGAAATGTCCTTTTCATTGACATTTCACAGGACGTTAGCACAATAGTTCCTTCTTTATACCAATGAAATCGTATCGTAGTATGATGCCATAAATGTTTACAGTGATTTATATTTGTCTTCAATTATACATTTCCTTTTTTTTTAGGGTTGGCGCAGACAATAAAATAATCCTTGTTCTACCTGTGTAAATGTTTTCCGTCTGGGCCAACCCTAAAAAAGGAAAATTTATAATTGAAGACAAACAAATCACTGTAAACATTTATGGCATCATACTACGATACGATCCAATAACAGAGGAAAGCTCACCTGTTCCTGTTTCTGTTGGAGCCACGTGTAGAATATGTTCGTCTGCTCACTAGGACGCATGGATTTTAGAGTCACCGGGGAGAAAGCAGAAACTTCATAGCCATTAGCCTGGGCATCTAAAAATCAAAAACAACTTAACTCTTTCCTCACTGCTACAGGGGAGACTGGCAATATTAAATCCTATCACCACTACACCTCTTGATGTTTGCAATCTATCCTATCGTTTCAAAATGAAATGAAGAAACTTTAATTTCTCTTGTTTTAATTATCTGCAGCACCTGGGGCTCCACAGATTAAACTACAATGAGTGTGCTTCCATACATATGAGCCAGCTGTCTGTGCTCATTGCACAAATACTAGGACAGTTTGATGGGGAAGCTAGATATTGGACATCCGTGGGAACATCATACAGCTTGAGTGTTGTAAATGAAAAGAAACAGTAAGAAAATACTTCGCAATTAAGAGTTCAAGGATAGAATCCTAGCATCATGTCCTGTAACGGTCATGTCCTGCTGAATTATTGCAGCATCACTTAGGGTGGTAGGCATGTGATAGAGGGGAGCTTAAAGGGATTCTATAGTGCCAGGCACTGTAAAATCCTGCAGACAGCCACTAGTGGAAGAGTTAACCCTGAAAGGTAATTTTTGCAGTTTGAGAAACTGAAATAATTACTATTGCAGGGTTAAGGGACATGGACATTGCACCCAGACCCCTTCAATGAGCTGAAGTGTTCTGGGTGCCTACAGTGTCCCTTTAAGGTTTACAAATATATACACAAAAGTAGCAAAGTCTAGCTGTGATGGATGACACCTGAGTGATATATCACATAATAATGCATAGAATACGTTTTTATTTTAAAGTAATCATTCTAAAAGGTGGAGAGGAAGGTAGGGAAACAATTCTCTTCCTGGACAAACAGGAGCACATAGGGATATGTGATTAGTTCATTTGCTTAGGTTATGTATTCCTTTGACCTTAGCAACTATATTACAGCAACTAATGCTTACCTGTGCTGCAGGACCACAGTTTTGCACCTCTCCTTATGAGATGGGGGCTTTGGACAGAGCTATGCCAAGGCGAATTGGGATCCACAATCTGAGAAACTCGGCTGACTGCTGCTGGTGCAAAAGGGCTACCTGAATCCAATGCTGGCTTTACAGAAGGTGTGGTCTTCAGCAGTGACGTTATTAGTGTGCGGGGTGGTAAGATAATTCTCTGAGTTTGATCACTACGTTCATCAAAGGATGTACCTGAATACAATAAAACCAAATAATGTAGTGTGATCAAACTAAAATCATAAATATAAAAGGTTATAGAGAAGAGCGGCCTACAATAAAGTGTAATGCAAAAATGAGTAACTACCCGAGCTGCTGGATGACTTCCGAGTCTCTGCAGAGAAAGACGAGAGCTTCATACGTCCATTACTTGCAGCAGCTTCCTGATGAGCAACCAGTCTTGCAGTCATGTTATTCAGCAAATCCAAGCATGCTTTTGAAATTGCAGTCCAGTTGTAAGGATGACCCCCTGTTATGAGGAGGAGACAGAGCATATATCAGCAACTAAATCACAGCAATAGCATAAATAGATGTTCTAAGTGTTCAGATTGGTGTAGTATCACAAATATGCATACCAGGCAGACTGAGGCTGAACACCTCCTGCCTCCGAGAGGGTGAATACTGAGAGAGAAGCACAAAATCCTGAAAAGCCAGATACTGCAGAAAAAAAACAAAAAAACATGAGCATGTAAAGAAACACACAATACAAATATCACTCATTGATGATCCCAAAATAACAGTGATTATACTTTAACAAATTTATAACCTTTTAAAACAAAATTTACCTGGCGTTTTCTTAAAGCATGCAGTGGTTATAATGCAAGGATGTCCTGGCAACAGTTTGCCCTTTTACCAGTTTCTGTGTATAGACATTCTGTACATAGAAATATGTTGATAATTGACATTAGCCAGCCAGGCTAACCTCTTGTGCTAAACTGGCCAGTGACACCACAATGACGCTGACAGAGATGGAGGTACACCTCCGCAGCAAAGGGATTAAATTCTGTATGTGCAGCACTGCATTGGAAAATGCTGCACATTACAGACACCTTGACCACTTCAAATCACTGTAGTGGTTATGGTGTCAAGAAAGCACCAGTACCATACCACAGTAAGCTGTTCATCTATTTTAGCATGATTTGGAAACTGGGCACCCGTGCAACATCCTGCCTGCTCCACCAGGAGAAGCCTTATGTCACTTTATAGCAAAAGCTTTTGTTCTCAACCCATCACCACGTCACTTAATGGGCAGCCATTGAGGTAAGGTAAGATGGCGCCCAGACACTCTTGCCCCATAACTTGTTATGTAAGCTGGGGTCTTGCTTTAAATATTAACAGGTGAATTAAAATCATCTATCTTAGCAAATAAATTGCCAATTCAGTCACAATATGGTCACACAGAACTACTTCAACAGTCAAAGGTTTAAACACGAACAATAAGCATTATTTGTTTATCTCCAATGTTAAAGGACCACTCTAGGCACCCAGACCACTTCAGCTTAATGAAGTGGTCTGGGTGCCTGGTCCAGCTAGGGTTAACCCATTTTTTAATAAACATAGCAGTTTCAGAGAAACTGCTATGTTTATTAATGGGTTAAGCCTTCCCCCTATTCCCTCTAGTGGCTGTCTCATTGACAGCCACTAGAGGCGCTTGCATGCTTCTCACTGTGATTTTCACAGTGAGAGCACGCCAGCGTCCATAGGAAAGCAGTATGAATGCTTTCCTATGAGACCGGCTGAATGCGCGCGCAGCTCTTGCCGCGCGTGCGCATTCAGCCGGCGGGGCGTAACGGAGGAGGATCAGAGGAGGAGAGCTCTCCGCCCAGCGCTGGAAAAAGGTAAGTTTTTACCCCTTTCCCCCTTCCAGAGCCGGGCGGGAGGGGGTCCCTGAGGGTGGGGGCACCCTCAGGACACTATAGTGCCAAGAAAACGAGTATGTTTTCCTGGCACTATAGTGGTCCTTTAAGATCAGCTTTGTGTAGGACCTAGTAATTTGGCTGCGTTTGAAGCAATGGTGAGCTTAAACACAGTATTTCCCTGTTGTGGTCATACTGCCTGGAGTGCCTAGGTGACCTTCCATTAGGAGTAGTAAAATCGTTTTAGAATGGTTTGACATCTTACCAGAGTTCCATCAGGTGTAGCTCCCTGTCTCCACCATAGCTGGAGCATTGCAGTGCTAAGCTCAGGAGAGCTAACAGAAGCTCTCTGGTGGTGCGGTGGAGGCATAGAGTGGAAGCCTGGTAAGAAGTCAAACCTGTTTTTTGGGGGGTTTTTTTGAGAGAACAATTAGTCTTCAGTAGCTCTAATAAGGCTTGGCAATCTTGTACTTGTTTAAATACAATGAAGTACCTGATAGAAGCATGGAATATGCATCTGCCATAAGAAACTCAAATAAAGTAATTTGTACTGATGGCTTGTGGATTTCAAAAGGGATTTAAGGAGACTCCTTGTCAAGATCCCTCAAAGAAATACATATTTTACAACCTTTCTACAGACCTCTTGCAAGATCCACACTATAGACTAATGTTGGAAACCATTTGGCTTTAAACTCAAGATTCACCTTTATCCCATATCATTGTTCATCTAATTTACAGAACTGTGCAATTCAGATAACATTTCAGCATACCTTCACAAGTTGAGGAGCATTGCTTCCAAGAACATTTGGTAGACAATTTTCTGCTTCTTCCACGAATGAGAACGTCACAGGAAAAACAATGGGCTGCAGGAATGGGAACAGTCAATGTATCAAAAAGTGAGCCAGCTAGGACTCCACTTTTTTTTATTTATTTTTTTAAATATCATAATTTACAGCGACACAATATGGTTTAGCTTTCAAGGATGCCCCACAAGTTCTCAAAGCATAAGAATATGTGCACCCTTGCACACTCAAACATACACATAGCCTACGGATCTTAGCACCAATGAAAACTATAGATATCTGTTAATCTCTACACTATGGAAAAGGTATCAGGACATTAATACTGACCTCCGTTGCAAAGATTCGGAAGAGTAGGGACAACATGTGCCAGGTGCCAAGGACAAATGTACCAGACAACCAGGTCTGGTAAAACAATGAGAGATTCAGGAGTCCTCGCACGGTGTCTAGTGGGGGCTCTTCACTGTATCAGAGGGAAACGGATGTTACAAAAACATTTCCAGAAAAGCCCTAAATATATTACCTAAACATTCAGATGTGCATGTCCTTGGCCCTGTCAGTTACTGAGTAGAGCTTGAAATAATATATTTATATAAGCACAAATACTAAGTTTTTTTTTTTTTTTTTTATAAGAGTCAATACAATGTAGATACATAACTGATCACAGACACATTGTATTCTACAATTGCAACAAGGCATTGTATATAAACAGTTACCCATCTGTCTGCAGGTTCATAGCAGATTTCATCCATGTACGTGGAATATATCCTGAAGAAGAAAAAAAAAAAAAAATTAAGTATCGGCTTTGACAAAGTTATACAGTCTCACTGTAAGTATCTTACTCATATCCAAACAGATTTAGCATAGTAAAAAAGTGGTAATTCTAATATGGCAATTGCAACAAAACTATCCTATTGAGATAAGACCACATAATTGAAGGAGAATTAAGTTTTAATATATGTGGTCACGTGCTTGTCTATGTATTTTGAGGGGGACAAGGGAGCTACCCAACACCCCATGACTTGTTACCTATGTATTTGGTGCATGCAGGTGATCACTGCTGTCATTTTGATCACCCAATTACTACCTGGGCATGTGACCACTTACTCAAAGGAGAGGTCTGCACTCTTATAAGAGAATCCTAAAAGTCACTTAAGGCTTTAAAAAAAAAATTATAAAAAAAAAAAAAAAAAAGAGGTGATTTCAATTACTAAGGCAATTACCTGCTACTTTGAGACTTTTCAATTGCAAGAAAATGACACCCTCTTTCATATTGTGGATACTTTGTGTCTATTGTGCCATGTTTAGGGGAAATAAGGAGCCCCTTTGTCCTAATACTGTAAACAGTAGACGGACACCAACTGTGACAGAGGCAAGACACCCTACACTGTAAAGAAAGGTAGTCTTTTCTTAAAATTGTCCTGTGTTTTATATGAGAAGGTAATAAGGCACTAAATGAGCTCATCTGCCCCTTATAAAATAAGAACTCGATCATCTGTGTAATGGAGATCACCTATCCCAACTATTTCAGAAGGGCATGTGAGCCCCCTTCAAAAGAAGCATGTCCCTTATATTTGGGAGGACACATGATCCTCTAAGATAAACATACATGGAAATATAGGTTTTGAAAAGGTCCCACACACCACCATAAAAATACAGTCATTATGGACAATGGGGTAGGTGATTTAAAGGATCACTATAGTGTCAGGAAAACAAACTAGTTTTCCTGGCACTATAGCGTCATTAGGTCCCCCCCACGCTTGGGTCCCCCCTTCAGCCACTTACCTTTATCCAGCACCGGTGACCTCTCCTCCCCCTCCGTCAGCTCCCGAGTGTAGCGGAATGCGCATGCGTGGCCAGAGAGCACACACACACACACACACACACACACACTTAAAAAAAAAAAAAAAAAACCCATAGGAAAAAATTACTCAATGCTTTCTCATGGACGTTCTGCATTCTGAATGCAATTTTCGCATTCAGCGTCGCAGAAGCACCTCTAGCGGCTGTCAGGAAGACAGCCACTAGAGGCTGGATTAACCCTGTAATGTAAACATAGCAGTTTCTCTGAAACTGCTATGTTTACATCTGAAGGGTTAAAACCTGGGGGACCTGGCACCCAGACCACTTCATTGAGCTGAAGCGGTCTGGGTGACTATAGTGGTCCTTTAAGTAAGTCTTAATTTAAAAGGGGTCTATCCCCTTTTATGAAATCATTGTAAAATCCTAGGGTATGGAATGGGTCCATTTATGAATAGACACTGCAAACAACAAAAAAATAAATTAAAAACAAAAAGCAATGAGACAACATACCAAGAAAATAGTAGAGTACAGTGAAATTCCGAATCAAGTAAAGAGATTGTAGACAGCTATGTTTAATGAGCAGATGAAGTTGTCGTCTGAACTGCACATACTTGAATTGCTTAAAAACAAAACAAAAAAAAAAATGCAAGATAAACATTACTCAACACTACTTTTAACAAAGTTATCATTGCATAAAACGAAGTATGATTGATGTGAACAAAGAATAGGATATTGCAGTATGACAGTGATAGGCCACTTTAATCACCCATGTCTTACCATGGCATTCAGCAGTTTGGCTGGCAACAAATATAAGCCATCAGCGATTTTTATGTAAATTCAGGTTTTCAGCTACTGAATCTTGAAGTAGAGCTGAAAATAGACTGCCTAGTTTTGACACAAACTAGAACATCAAGTTACAGCTCAACTCTAAAACCTATGTCCCCAACTAGTTTGAATTGGATTTATCTGATAATGTAAATGTCAGTTGTGCAGATTTTTCAAACTGGGCAACTTAGCTGGGTGTGTGTGTATTTATATATATACACACACACACACACACACACACAGTATAGAGCAGTATCTATAACTACACAATAATAATCCAGAATTAACTAAGCAATGATTTCTTTTGCCAGGCAACATTTAAATGTGGTGCTCCAATGTGGGTTAAAATTAAAGAACAGCTGTCACCATATGTCATGTATGCACCTTTGGTCAGACAGTATTTGGAAAAAGACAGTCTCTATGGTCTTCCCTGTGTCTGTGCAGGAAGTAAAACAGGTAAGACCCGAGAGTATGTATATGGCTGAAGGATCCTGTCAGATCATAAAGAAGGGGAAGAGTTTCTCATTTTTGTACATATACTTCATAAAGAATAATGGTTGCTAACCGAATACCCATAGTTTCGTATAATATATAGATGAAAAATTACATTCAGCAAAGGAAAAAAAAAAAAAATTATATATATATATTTTTTTTTAATATATTTATTTATTAGTGGTACACATATTCCATTCTCTTATACAAGAATTTATTTTGAACCATAAAAGAATAAACTTGATAGGAAAAAAAAAGACCACCGTGGGCCAACTAATAGAAATTAATAGTTTAAAATGGATGACGAGTATAAACTAGCTTCCATCCCAAACTGCTATGCACCTAAACATGCCACCATTCAGTGCCCTCATCCACGCATTATTGCTTTATTCCTACCACAAGATAACAGCGTGCACCTACACGCAATGCCCGATGACCGGCTAGAACACCATCCCACACCCTGCACTCTCTAACATGCATCATATTCTAGTTTGCCTTCCGTATGGTACTATTATGTATGCAGACGTCAAAGCCGTATGAACCTCACCTACACGCACCAACCCCCCTATACAACACAAACGCAGGTACTCCACTGAACTCGCCCTGCTATCAATAACGCTGATGTACTTGTACCTATAAAAGAACCTGTTGTATTGATGACCTCATTGTACTGCTCTTAATACCTCAATAAAAAAAACAACAAAAAACTAGCTTCCAAAGATGCACTAAATAGTTGGTGTTCGAGCAGTGAAACAAAGATAATTTTAAAAAGGGACTCCATCCTACATAATCCGACAACTAGCAGTTCATCTATAAGTTATACTAGCAAGTACAGGTGAGAAGAGACATAGAAAGTAGTTTTCTATAACCTGTTATGACTTTTTCCAATACACCTAAACATAAATCCATTACTACCTCTCGCAAAAATACCTCTAGATTGAAACAGAAGAGGCTAGGGTTGTGTGCACAAAACATATGTACAGTTTGCACTGACCGGCTTCAAAACCAGTTATTTAAAATAAAATTACATAGAAAAACATATATGCACTTGCCAATCAGCTGGAACAATATAGGAACTTTTTCACATTGGAATCAGTCATAAGCAGGACCATCACATTTCACAAACATCACTAGATATTCTAATAAATGCCCTTCCCATTCTTACCTGTATAGAGGGGAAGGAAACATAGTTCATGTTTTGCACAAAGTACAACAGGCTGTAACTGTAACCAATGAAGGCACCAGCAAGCATTTGGAATAGATGGTGTTCATTAAGACACATTGGATTGGAGGTGGTTTCAACCTGACTGAGGAAGAAAATACAGCATCCAAAAAATTAAGTATTAGATGTGAAGACATGTGCACATTAATTATACCATATTACAATAAATTGTGTGTGTACCTTGGTGCAGAAGTGCAACGAACAACCAAAGGCCTATACCAGCTTTTACAGATGAATGAACAGCACCAAAAAGCCAACATCCCCAAGCCAGCATGAACCAAGGAATGGAGAACTCGCTGAGGAAGGAGTATGTGTCCAATAAGGGAAAATCGAGAGCACGGAATGGAAGGAACAACTACAAAAAAAAACATTAAATAGCTAGAATTATACACACTATATTCATAAACATTTTAAATGCTAGAGAAGACACAATCTATGGCTTTGAAATGGATAATAGTGAACATTAAACATGCCCAATAAGAGGATGAAATAGAGAACATCTCAGGAGCCAAAAAGAAGACACAACTATCAATATTTGCAGACAGAGTCCAGGACACTTCACATAAAAGAAAATAAAATTTCATCGATACATTCTGCCAGGTAGAAATGCTGAAAATTAAGGTTTAGAAAAATAGTTTAGCCTTCTATGTAGACAATGGAGTGACAGGGAACAACAGAAGACTCTCCCCCTTCATCTAATTTCCCTGCTGTCTGTCACAGTAACGCATGCACAGATGTGCTGTCACTGAAGCCATCATGTTGGTGTCATAGGGAAGTAGAAGGGATTGGGATCCTTGTGTTATGATGGAACTTACCTTAGGAGCAGTTCTCTAAAGCAGAAAATATATATATTAAAAAAAAAATATTTTTTTTTTTTTAACCTCCCCCACAAATTACATGAATCTGCATAATGATTTTGTTTGTGGATAAAACTGTCTTACCTGTGTAAAATTGCACATTGCAGACACAATGAATCCCCAACAAAAGACAAAGAAAGATGAGGCAGAAAATGGTGTAACTGCTGCCTATATCACTAATGGAGTCTAAACAAACAAAAAAAAATTTAAAGTGAGATTTTAGGAAACAGTACAATAGAAAATTATATATATATATATATATATATATATATATATATATATATATATATATATATATATATATATATATATATATATATATATATATATTTCAAGTAGAGATTGTAGCCGTATTAGTCCAGTGATGTAGATGTAAAAAACAGATAAAATTCTTATCTTGTAATACCTTTTTTATTGGACTAACAGAATTTTTTTAATGACAAGCTTTCGGGAGAACCTCCCTTTCTCAAGTCTGAAGCATTTCTGAGCAAAACGACACATAGAATTCAAAGTTGAGTTGTGATACAGGGGTTAAAGCCTGTGTCTTATCTACACTCATGTCGCTTTAACCCCTGTATCACAACTCAACTTTGAATTCTATGTGTCGTTTTGCTCAGAAATGCTTCAGACTTGAGAAAGGGAGGTTCTCCCGAAAGCTTGTCATTAAAAAAATTCTGTTAGTCCAATAAAAAAGGTATTACAAGATAAGAATTTTATCTGTTTTTTACATATATATATATATACACACACATATATATATATATATATATATATTTTTATTTTTTTTTGTGGCAAAACAAACGCAATTTCAAATTCATACAAGTTATGAAATGAAGTCTGATTAATACATAATAGGTAATTTAATAGTATTCATTTTATTGACCTCAGACTGAGCTGATCTAATCAGGAATTACACCTGCAATTCTGCAGACTTTACTCCGTCCACTGAACCTGCTTGATGCAAATTTATTTTAGATATTGGACCTCCTCTTCTCGGATTACTTCCTCACACTCCAATCTCCAGAACAAATCCTGTTCAGCGCGAGGGGGGGGCTAATAACCCTATAGTGCCAGGAAAATGGGTTTGTTTTCCTGGCACTATAGTGCTCCTTTAAAACACTTTTTTTTCTGTTTATGCTGTTACATTACGAACTTAAAAAAATATTACTGAATGTGTTCACAAGTTAAGCTTTCTACAGTTAATTTTAACAAACTATAGTTAAAGGGGCACTTTAAGCAACATAAAACCTACAGCTTTCTTAATGGTTATATGGTCTACAGTGATTTGGCAACATCCCTTCGTTAATACAAAACCATTTAAATGCAGTTTGATGTAAGCTCCACACTCTCCTTGGTAAGTTAAAAATAAATTCCCATCAAAGCCACATTTACAATGCAGAATTAACACTTACCACCATTAATTGTCTGGGTGTGCTGGCTCTCACAGCACAGTATACTTAGACAATCACCATCATCCACAATGGATGAAACAGATTGATAAAATGAAAATGTTAATCCACATTCTCAAGATGGCAGCGGTCCATGGGAGCCAGGAAGACATGAGAGATGAAGTGCATCATTTCAGTTTAAACATTAAGCATAAACTCTAAAAAGTGTCACTTTATAGGTGATTTGGATATGGAACATTACCACCGGTTTATTAACGTTTTGAGTCAGGTTTGCTGTGTTTTGCTCAATCATATCCTATAGTATTCACTTTAGAGGTTATTATGCGTAATGTTGACACTGAAAAGCTGCACTACATTTCTGAATTGAATATCTTATTTGGGGTTAGGGAAGACATTTGGTAGGGAGTAGCAGCTTATTAAAAAAGAAACGTTAGAATTTCTATTTTTAAGAGGATGTGAAACGCCTTTATATACACTTTTTTTTAAATTTTTTATAAACAATAGATTTGTTCCTTATATCCCCCATATAACGTGCATGTATGCAAGGCTCCTGATACCATTACCATATTAGGACCCACTCACCTGTAAGCCACGCAATGGGATGGAAAATCTTTATTTGGCTACAAATGATGAAAGCCATGGAGGTTATAGGCAGCAGTAAAACTGACCAAATAAAACTGGCAGCTAATCTCCATCTTAGTACCTGCAGTAAAAATGTTTAACATGTTACCAAGGAGCATACAGGTTAAATACCAACAAATGAAGGAATACTACACAAAGTACCAAAATAAATAAATAAATAAAAATCACGATATATTTCTTGCACAATTTTGCAGACAGCAAATAAAGAGAATGAGGAATACATGGTAAGCACAGAAATGAAGCCCAGTGATATGCACAGAGGACACAGCAAAACCCCTTATCCCCAATCCCAATATCCCCATTGGGCGGAATTTGTTGCCGCTTTATAAATAATAAATCAAATCATAGTGGCTCTATGTGGGTTACCAATATCCCTCTGCTACCTCTTGTCTCATCTCCCCAGTTTAACCTTTAGATTGTAAGCTCACGGGCTCTACCTGTTGTATCGCTGTTATTATTGCGTTTGTCTTTTTCCCAATTGTACAGCGCTGCGGAATTTGTTGGCACTTTATAAATGCCAATAATAATAATAATAATAATAATAATAAAAGAACAAACTATTTATGAACAGGCATTGTAGACATAGACCTGCAAATATAAAGTTACAATTTTCTTTATGTAATGTAAAAACTTTACAAAAAGCACTGGAATTATATAATTATATATTATAATACACATTCCCTAACCCCCTGTCTGCCCAATGCAGTTTCCCCAGGGAGTTCCATGGACTGTGGGCCACGTGGCCCCTGGTGAATGGCAGGCAGTATGCTCAGTGACAGCCTTACAGGGGATGGCTGTCGGTGACTGTCGGATACCGGTCTGTCTGCGCTCATATTCATGGTGATCCCGCATCTGTCATTCAAACACACAGCGCGGCATGGGAACAAGGACCCCATCCGGGCTGCCCCGACACTGCCTGACTCTGACAGTCAAAAGAAGCCCCCATTCAGGGCTGCCCCGACACTGCCTGACTCTGACGGTCCAAAGAAGCCCCCATTCAGGGCTGCCCCGACACTGCCTGACTCTGACGGTCAAAAGAAGCCCCCATTCAGGGCTGCCCCGACACTGCCTGACTCTGACGGTCCAAAGAAGCCCCCCTTCAGGGCTGCCCCGACACTGCCTGACTCTGACGGTCCAAAGAAGCCCCCCTTCAGGGCTGCCCCGACACTGCCTGCCTCTGACGGTCCAAAGAAGCCCCCATTCAGGGCTGCCCCGACACTGCCTGACTCTGACGGTCCAAAGAAGCCCCCATTCAGGGCTGCCCCGACACTGCCTGACTCTGACGGTCAAGAGAAGCCCCCATTCAGGGCTGCCCCGACACTGCCTGACTCTGACAGCAAAAGAAGCCCCCATTCAGGGCTGCCCCGACACTGCCTGACTCTGACAGTCAAAAGAAGCCCCCATTCAGGGCTGCCCCGACACTGCCTGACTCTGACAGTCAAAAGAAGCCCCCATTCAGAGCTGCCCCACACTGCCTGACTCTGACAGTCAAAAGAAGCCCCCATTCAGGGCTGCCCCGACACTGCCTGAGCCTGCCTGACTCTGACAGTCAAAAGAAGCCCCCATTCAGGGCTGCCCCGACACTGCCTGATACCAGTTAAAAGAAGCCCTTCAGACTGCCTGCAAAAGAAGCCCCCATTCAGGGCTGCCCCGACACTGCCTGATACAAACATATTAAAAGAAGCCCTCTCACGGGCTGCCCCGACATTGCCTGATACAAACATATTAAAAGAAGCCCTCTCACGGGCTGCCCCAACACTGCCTGATACAAACATATTAAAAGAAGCCCTCTCATGGGCTGCCCCAACATTGCCTGAGACAAACATTTTAAAAGAAGCCCTCTCACGGGCTGCCCCGACATTGCCTGAGACAAACATATTAACCCCTTAAGGACACAACTTCTGGAACAAAAGGGAATCGTGACGGAATATTTCCGTCATGTGTCCTTAAGAGGTTAAAAGAAGCCCTCTCACGGGCTGCCCTGACATTGCCTGACTCAAACACACCAAAAGAAGCCCTCTCACGTGCTGCCCCGACATTGCCTGATACAAACATATTAAAAGAAGCCCTCTCACGGGCTGCCCCAACACTGCCTGATACAAACATATTAAAAGAAGCCCTCTCACGGGCTGCCCCAACACTGCCTGATACAAACATATTAAAAGAAGCCCTCTCATGGGCTGCCCCAACATTGCTTGAGACAAACATATTAAAAGAAGCCCTCTCACGGGCTGCCCTGACATTGCCTGACTCAAACACACCAAAAGAAGCCCTCTCACGGGCTGCCCCGACATTGCCTGAGACAAACATATTAAAAGAAGCCCTCTCACGGGCTGCCCCGACATTGCCTGAGACAAACATATTAAAAGAAGCCCTCTCACGGGCTGCCTCGACATTGCCTGATACAAACATATTAAAAGAAGCCCTCTCACGGGCTGCCCCAACACTGCCTGATACAAACATATTAAAAGAAGCCCTCTCATGGACTGCCCAAAACATTGCCTGAGATAAACATATTAAAAGAAGCCCTCTCATGGGCTGCCCTGACATTGCCTGACTCAAACACACCAAAAGAAGCCCTTTCACGGGCTGCCCCAACATTGCCTGATACAAACATTTTAAAAGAAGCCCTCTCACGGGCTGCCCCGACATTGCCTGAGACAAATATATTAAAAGAAGCCCTCTCACGGGCAGCCCTGACATTGCCTGACTCAAACACACCAAAATAAGCTCTCTCACGGGCTGCCTCGACATTGCCTGAGACAAACATATTAAAAGAAGCCCTCTCACGGGCTGCCCTGACATTGCCTGATACAAACATATTAAAAGAAGCCCTCTCACGGGCTGCCCCGACATTGCCTGATACAAACATATTAAAAGAAGCCCTCTCACGGGCTGCCCCGATGTTACCTGTCTCAGACATGAAAATAATTTCTTTGGGCTGCCCCAATAATGCCTGGCTCTAACACATAAAAAACTCATCAGTACCACTGTTTAACTTACCCTCATACTGGGTTTTAGAGAGAATGCATATTGAAGTCTAGAAACTGAATGTTTTTTTTGTTTGTAGTGACAGCAAAGCAAACATTAACTGAAACTAGATCAAACCAGCTCGCACATAGTGCTGGCAACCAGTTCTAGAATGTTGCATCACAGTTGTGTTCAAGAATAATAATTGGCAATGTTGGGGCAGCCCGTGAGAGGGCTTCTTTTACACGTGTGTACACAAAGAAAACAAACAATAGTGAATATATTTCCCAGTGAGCACTAAAGAAAGACAACATAATGTAACCCAGACTACTTCAGCCCCTTGTCAATGATTTTGCGAGGTGCAGAATTGTCTGAGTAGTGTATACACTGCCTTGCCAGTCGGGAGATGACCCCATGTATGGGCGGCCACCATGATGGGTATATCTTAAACAATGTGGCCACGCATCCGTCTCAGTGGGCCAGTTGTCCCTAACCAGTGGTTGCCGAAAGTAGCTGCGAACCCTGTGTGTGCTGCTGCGTCTGTGTAGATTGTGGGTGAGAGATTCTGATACTGGAGGAATGAACAGGCAGGAGTCGTCGTCCAGGTAGTGGATAACGGACGGACACCTGACTATGAGTAGGAGCAGCCAGCAGAGGGTCTCTGCGAAAGTATCATAGAGCTTGGGGCTGCTCCTGGGCCCGAAAGTGAGCCGGGTAGAGAAAAATACTTGTCCCTCCATTTAACACCGTGCAAGTGCCATAGTGAAGGGTGAATGGGTAGTCGTTTAGAGTCATTGGTAATATTGGTCCTGCTTAACCATGCTTGCTGTGATAATAGCATGCATGGCGTAGTCAATTTTAGCATACTGCGGTGACAACTCCTCAGCGGGTATGAGAGAGTTAGTGCTGGGAATGGAGGAAGAATGAAGTGCAGCGAGGTCAATGATCAAACGTTTAATATGAGAGTATTAGTGAATGGCTACCCCGATGGGTTGGTATGCCATGATGAGAATGGTGGAGATAAGAAAGGGCCGAACATGAAACCAGCCTTGGTTTCAGGGGACAGTAGGTGGTCCCCCTTAAGCGGGTCATTAGATGCTGAAAGTAGGTAAGGCGTACATGTGAACCTATGGGGATGGCAATGAGGATCGTGTAAACCCCTGTGAGAAACCCGTCACCAGGTAATCTATGAGATGCCTAGCTGGGTGTGAATGCAGGTAGTAAGCCAGGATGTCAAAGTTAACGTCAGTTAGTCATTTCTTGGTTGACAGTCGGGCCGGGCACATAGTCTTGTTGTACACTCTGAAACAGATGGAGCAGCTGTGCAACAACCAGCATGCACTTAGACTGCATGCCCCGGCATTAAAATAATTGCACGCCTGCGCCTTGCCCAGGAATGAAATGGGTCTGCCCAGCTTGTCTCTCTGCCAGCCTTCTTGTCTTGTGTGTGGGTGGAGTGGTGTGAAGTGGAAGTTGGCGTGGCAGGGCCTGCCTCGCAAGGGCACAAGTCGGTGGTGTGAGAAGTGGAACTACGGGCGGCACAGGACAGGGGCCTTAACCGTCAACGTGACGGCAAAACAGTACTGTGTCCTTTTGGCACCAGTCAATTCTTATGTTGAACTGAGCCAGATGAGTAGCTGCCCTGGCCAACGCTGACTTATGATTAGTCATGAAAGAGGACCATCCGTACATAATACCTAAGTAAACTACCTTGTGCATGTACGAGTTGAGCTCTTCCCTCCTATGGGTACTGTGCAGAATAACGTCACGATAAATGCCAAAGGCGATAAACTGGGGGAAGGAAAGTTTCTTGTTAAGTCGAGGATCTCTGGCTTTTTAGACCACTGAAATGTCCCCGTAATTGTAAGCTCTATTCTCTAGGATGTCTTGAGAGGTTATAAGTAGTGACACAAGATTTACAACTTTCCATCCAGAATTCACTTCTTATGGAAGCTGGAACAGAGTGAGCCGGTAAGACATATGTGGCAGTGATAGTTGCTGGTGGAGGAGGGAGGGGTATGCCAGCCTGAACGGCAGCCTGATCATGGTATGGAGGTTGACCAAATAGCAGTCAGGGTCTCCTGCGTGGAAATTGAGGTGTTAGTTGGCTGCCCTTGTGAACTAGTGCCGGGCCTGTGTTCATTGGCCTGTGCCATCAGCATCAGGAGCCTGTATAATTCTGCCTTTCTAGAGGTAGCTGGAAAAGGGATACCCCTGAGACTGAGCTCTGCTGATATTTTGGGAATAGCCCAATATCTCAAGGGTCTGGGGGTAGAAGGGGTGAGGGATTTTTCTGGAGACTCAGGCCTGACTGGCGTTCTGGGTATTTCGTCTGACGGCAGATCAAAGATGGAGATGGATTCTTGTGTCATTCTGAAAAAGGAATAATGATTTGAATAAGTAGGGTATAGTGGAGGGGGGAATAAGACCTTTGGAGAATTGGCCTGCTAACTAGTGCCGAGGTGAAGAATTTCACTGGAACCGAGTGACATGTGAGGCCCTGCTAGTGCCAAGTGGTGGTGAGAGGCTCTACCTATGATTTTGGCCGAGTGGATTCGTGGCCACTTGAACGTGGTGGCAGGATGTTGGCCTCTCGGTGACCGTAAGAGATTCAAAACGTGTGGCCGTGACTTGGGAAGCCCTAACTGTAGCCCTAAAGAAGGGCGAGCAAGGTGGCTAACTATGGTTTGGTCGTGGGGGTGAACCTCCATGTTAAAGTGGAGAGTAGACCTTGCGGGTCCGGTATATTGCATAGGATAGCTAAGGCCAGCGCCTGTCATGCGGTAACACTTCCGGGTTCGGCACTCAGCTGTGAGGAGCCGGACCCCACCCCCCCTCTGACGGCTCTGACAGTATTTAGGGAGACCACGCCAGAGAGAGGGTGCTTGGTGATACTGGGAGCTTCTTCTGCCAGACTTACCTCTCCACAGGCTCTGGCAATGTGGGTCCTACTTCCGATTATGCACGCCGGCTCCTGGGACACGCCGGCTCTAAAAGCTCTGAAGTCGTCCTAGCCTTCTTTACTAAGACAAGTATGCTTCATGTCATAGAGGATTACTGGAGAACGGAAACTCACTTACTTTACAATTGGACCATATCCCTGAACTATTGGAGGACTACACATATTAACCTTAAGTATATCTTTCAGCTATTTGTCTACAATATCATTTAATAATGAACTAATGCTTGCTTACTCAAAACTTCATTGCTTCAAGCTACAAATTATATGGAGGACAACTCCCATCATGCTTATTCATTATGAACTGTTCTTGCTTTGCAAATATTCTCACCTACTTGCTTAATGTTACTATTGAAGATTATTCTCATTAACCAAAGAATGTTACTTAATGCATCTCTGAGGAAATACTTATTAATGAACTTTGTGTTGTTGATTACTTGCATATCTTCTTTTTGGATTATTGCCTAAATGCAATTCATTTAAGTTTAACACTTATTAGAACTTCGTTTTAATCAAGTTACCAGCGATTCACTCTTTTCTTAAAGTTCC